CCCCCGCCCCCCTTTCTTTTCTTTAAGAGAAACGGATTTAGCTAGAACTCCCTCCTCAAATTTTACAGCCGTGTAAGACTGTGACTGATTTAAGAAATACCGCGGCGCAAAGGGCGCAAGCAAGCACATGCCCACGGCGCAACGTTAGCGTCGCTGAAAGTCTCCCAGGTAGACAGTTAATACGGCACTGTACGCAGCTATCTCTAAATTAATCTTTGTTTCAACCCAGGGTGCAGCCTTTCTGCCATATGGTTTTTCAATCTAACGAAAGAAGGGAAAATCACTTTTTTTAACTTGGGGCAATAACTACGCCTTTGTTTGTTTTTGCAATCACCCAACACTACAGTGTCTGTTTATAGTCATACAGACTTTATATACACACGCTGTACAAACTGAGATTTCCTTAGCCAGCTCACGCAGGGACCCTTATAGTTCACAAACCCTTGTGAGGAAAGACCTTCAAATATGCCATATTTCAGTTTTCTCCTGAACTTCTGCAAAAGGGTGATTAGCTCAAGTCATTAAATGGAGTGCGCAGAAAGTACGCACCGTCTTTGCTGAAGACTTGCCTCATAAGCTGTACCTTCTCGTGGCAACTTACTATGTGGAGCTGGGAACGCCACCGCCTTTTTTCCTCTTAGCGGCCATTCCTAACTTTATGCTTTCAGCCCAGAGCTTAAATTTCAATAGAGCAAGCTGGGGGACAACAGCTGCAACACTCACATATTATCTGTTAATAAAATACCTGTGCTGTACAACACAACTTTAGTCCGTCCTTTAAATTGTTCTGAATTGAAACTCCTTCACAGAGAGTCATCCATCTTTGTGAGATGGTAAGATATGTAAAAATGCACATATCTACCTAAAATAAAAGCTTCTCACTGCCAAGTAACAAGCCTCGCTGTCGTTGTTTGGGCCAGGGGAACAGAAGCGATGTGGAGACCTATTTAAAGTTTCTTCTCACAGACGTGAGGCGCATGCCTCTCTCGACCCTGCAAGCAAAGCAAACGTTCCAAAACAGCAAGGGACAAGCGCAAGCTTTTGTTCCGTGTCCTTTACCCAGGACATCCGTTTCCACAGAGAGGCGATGTGCTGCAGTTGGCTCTCATGGCACAGGAATTTCTAGAAATAACCTGCTCTAGGAAGTAACTGTGAGCTGCCGGGGCATTATGTAGTGCCCTTGCTACAGCAGGTCTCTTCGCAGTTGGGACACGGTGCCATGCACGGATGCAGGCTGGCAGGACTAACTACGCTTTGAAAACCATAAGCATCTGCTTTGACACCTACTGCGGTGACTCCCATGTTTGCTTCATTATCATGGAGCTGGGATTATTCTGTTTTCTCTCTTGGTTATGTGTATTAGCTCATGCAAAAATGACCACATATAAACTGGAACAATCCCCCCATCTGATATCCCTGAAAAAACGGTGGCTTTTCAATCACACATTAGCCACAATATTTTGTACTTGCATTTTCCCTGCAGAGCTTTGGTGAATTCCTTCAAAAGCAAATTGACTAAGTACAATGTCACACTCTTCCCCTCCCCTGCTCTCAGCAGGTCTTTTGTTTCTATCCTTTGCAATCTCTTTTCTATTCTTCTGAACAAATTTCTGATCATTTTATCCAAACTCTCTCCTTGTTCCACCCAATTCCACTTTACTAAACTCCCTCAAGTCCTCTCCTTTTCTAATCTTAGTTTGAATGATATGTATAGTCTCTACTTATCTTTGGTCAAAAGGCCAAATCCTGCTTTCAGTTCAGCCCTGATCTCAGATTTTTTCACCTGCTTTTTAATTAAGTATATTCATGCTTTCTCCCATGATATTACTCAGGCTTGGGAGCAGTCTCCTACAAACATCCACCATCCCAGCTCACTTCCGGGCTCCTCTTAAAACTCCTTTGCAAAAAGCCAAATGACAACAGTTAACTTACTGATTTGCTGAGATTGTTGTCAGTAACGCCCGTGATTCAGGTCTTCTTGTTCCTCTGTTCCCATTACCTGTTTCTTTTCTTATATTTGGAAACTATTGGTAGCTCATACCACCTCTGAACTTCATCTGAGTTGCATTCACTTCCTATGGCCAAAGCACCCCTTTATAAATACAGAAAGAGTAGAAACGTAAAAATTAAACCCAAAGTGTTTAAAATATGAACACATACATAAAGAATATATATGTGTGTGCATGCATATATAAATACATACATAATGTGTTTGTGTGTTCATACACCTCTCTCTCAAATACACTAGTATTTGTACTCAATTATATAAAATGCCCATTGCCATGGCTACCCAGGTAAAGGAAAGCCAATCTACATTAAGTGTTCTTTGTGGAAGAACACAAACAAGAAATGAAATGCCTTCATGTATCAAAGAAAATACCAGTTCAAATAAATACTGTGCATTTATTTATCTTTGAACAGACGCAGTTCCCCCACATGACAGTTGTGGTTCTGAATGTTTTTAAATTTGGGTGCCCTTGTAACTGCATATATACTCCAAATATACACACACATTTAAGAGATGGGAGTCCTTGATTACAGACTTTAATTTTCCTGAACAAATTCTTGGCTCCAGTTTGATTGGTCAGACTGATATAAGCATAGCACTGTAACTCTCTCTCCCTTTGTATATAAACATGCACAAGGATAGCCAAATATTTTGCCAGTTGTCCGGTGCCCTGCAATGTTTGACTTTTTTTTTTGTTTCAGACAAAAATAATTAGACCTCTTCCCATCACACGTTCACAAAGGCACCGACAAGTGCTAGGGAGCACAGGTAAGCACACGGACTGACTGTTACAGCCCATTTGCTAACATAAGAGGTAGTACGCAACCTTTACACCTTGTCTGAGGAAAGCAAAACCTCTCTGACAGGCCCAGAGCCCAATTATTCTGCATCTTAGCAAAAAGTTAAAGCTTTGAGAACCTGGCAGTTTATCAGGCAGACTCCCACGGCTGCAACTTCGCTACGGGTATATTTCAAAGTATATTTCAACAGTCTAGGAAAGTCCCCAATAAATTATTCTAACGTTGTCACAAAAGATAACATTCCTAGTCTATTAGTGAAATCTCCCTGGGGCATTACATCTTGACTTTACTATAATAAATAAGAATTTCTTAGGGACCTAAAATCCTCTCCACAGGAAAGTATTCTGCATTTCCTTGCTACCTAAAAATGTCTTTTGTATCACACGTAAGAAAGAAACTGTATGATGAGATATTTAAAATCGTACTGGACGAAGCACTGTGTAAGCTGTAAAGAACACACTCCCCACATCCACAAAAATGGCCCACGGAAGTTTCACAATCGGGTGGAAATCGAGGTCTTTTCCAGCTCTAACGTTTGACTCTTTCTTCTATGATTGCTGTTTGAAACAGGAACTGGACTCTGTTGCATCAGAGACCTTTTTCACTTTTTCTGAGTGGAAATCACAACCGCACAAGAATTTGAGCAAAACCTGTTCTCACAGATGTCAAGGGGAGTTTTCAGTTGACATCATTTAAGACGTGGATTTTACCTCTTGTGTTTGAGTATGTTTTCTGGAATGCCCAGCAAAATGGGGTTTTCCACACACATGTGACATCTGGATACTGCTCATATACCTACCAGTAAGAAAAGACTTAGGCTTTGAGACTACCCAGGGACATGCCCTAGACTGCACTTCTACCGGTTTTAAAATTCCATGGGATAAATGCTACATGTGCTTGTTCCTCAAGCAGGCAATATCTGAAAGGGCGCAAGTCATACTTACTTTGCACTGGCCTAGATGGTAAAACACTATTATTTCCTACAGATAAAATTTTACTTCTGAAGTAACTCACTACCCTTTATTGCTACTTTTTGTAAAGTGTTTGTGGAGGAAGAGTCTGCATGTTTCAAAAGTAAAACATATAACTGTTTCAAAACATTTAACTAATTTGCATATACAAGTTGTTGTAATTTTTTAGAAGAGATTATTACATTAGTCCTTCCCTTTGTATGACAACCAGTTTCCAGAGTTATCCAGGTACAGAAATGTCCCTAACCTACACAGAAGAAGTACTACTCAGCTTCACAGAAACAAAATCTTTCACTTAAAAAGCAGACTTGCCTAAAAAGGGAAATATTAAAACATACACACATTGACTTCATTACCAAAGGATGTTGTGCACCTAAAGATGAACATATCTGATGCCATTTCTGAGGGAGGACTTGTACGCCTGAAAGACTTTTTCCAGTTTTTTCAGCCAATCAAAAAGAAGTCTCTCTCTCAATAACTTTTTCCTGCAGTAAGACGGCACAAGTATGTACTCTGGGAAACGTGCTAATTTGGATTTTCAAAACGTTCTTCTCTCCTCCTGTATTCTTTCACCACCTTCCCTTTTCACCTCCTGCTATTGCCTTTATTATGCCTCTGACGACCCATATCTCATTCTAAATGTACGTGTGTGTTAAATATGCATGTGTGCATATAGACACATATAACACACTATACAAATAAAAAGGACATATACTCAAGCATACATAACATACTTAAGGTACAGGTATAGATCCACTTCTTTATGGACTTGCAGTTTGGAATTGCATATTACTTCAGCTTCATTTTTCACAGATGTGGCCCTCTTTCCACCCCACCTCCTAAAACTCCTAAGGTGCGAATAACTGAGCACTTCTGAGAGTTAAGCCAAGTAAGCCCGTTTATCATTCTAAACTTCAAAATCAGTATCATACTACCTTGGCACTGGTGTCCTGTCAACTCCTGCGTTACCCTGAATCAAATTCTTTTAAGGTTAATATTCCAGTCTGTGATTAACATCAAGTGCTGCTTCCAGCAGTGAGGATTCAGTAAATGCAGGGTCATCCACATCTTTGACAGTACAAAACTAGAACTATATAGAAAAGTTAGCTTTTTTATGTTTTTCTTTAAGACAGTATGTAGCCAGCTCAAAAAATGAAAGCAGCACATAGGACACTGAGCATACATTATGTGATGGAAATCTGTCCGAATCAGACATAGAAGTCATTTAAATGATCTCAGTTCTGATCTTATTGTATCATTCAATTCTCCTTTATTGCTTCCAGTGAATATCTTCATGCCCTGTATCTGAAGAGCCATTTACTCAGCTTGTAGAATTTAAATTTACAGTGGTCACTTACCATAGCTTGCAATATGCATATGAAATTTCTCTTACTCTATGTGTGTATTATGTGCTGAATGACAACTTGTATTTAAAAAGGAATTCAAGAAATAAAATATTACAGGCATTAATACAACTTTCTGAAGAATGACATAATACTCCCATAACCCTTTACTGAGTTGAAAATGAAGTGATCTTCAAACATCTTATTACTGTAACCAAAAATCAAGTACTGTAAAACAACATCTAAGCTAGAGGAATTAAACTGATAAAAAAAGAAAATATGACTTCTCTTGACAGATAAATGCAGCTGTTTGGAGTTGTTGGAACTTCTTTTCCTAGTCATTAAATCTGATAACATGAGTAACAATGATTCACAAGAAAAAACCCATCTATTTTATTTTTAAAATAAATTTAGGTGATAGCCAGTAATAAGTAGAAAATAAAGCTATTCGCAAACGGATAACCAGAATAGAAACCACCAATTGATTTGAAGGCTTGGGAACAGTTCACTTCATTCGTTAACGTCGCTCTGAACGATCGCTCACGTGGAGACAGATTCTTCTTTTTGACACTGCTTGCAGGGACAACCTTTGCGAGTCTGTCCAGCAGGTGGCTTTGATTCTCTTTCAAACTTACACAAACCCATCAAGTAAAGTTTCTCCACACAGAAAAACATCAGTGTTGCAGTAGAAAATTAGTGGCTACATTTAAGTCATTATTTGAAGCCCTCAAAGCTTCTAGAGCATCTCCCCTGGAAAATCCCATTTCCATAAGTCGTGCAACCTGCCAAAGAAATAACAGTAAACCACTTTTAAATCAGAGTTTTATTGACACTATGTGCATACTAGTTATGTAACAGTGAGAGTTATTTTTTCCACTATCAATCTGTGCAACAGTTTACCTTTCTAAACAGTAAGCAAGCATGACTACTTGCCATCACAAATGCATACTGGGGACGGCGTGCCTGAATGAGATTGAAAACTTTGCAAGGGATCAGAGATGACAGCTTTACAATATTTTATTCAAAAATAAACATTTTCTGAAAATTCCACACCTGTATTTTTCTAGCTGATCCACTTTGGAAGAAGATTAAAATAGACAGGAAGTTTGTTACGTGGTAGGCATTTTTTGCAGTACAGCACCACACACGACAACTAAAATCGGAACTCAAGGCTTGCTGCTCTAGACAAGAACGGACCCTCAGGAAGCTAGTGCTGACCAAAACATGGGATTGTACAGCACATGTGAAAATCTGTCCATACATACGTAACTCGACTTTCCTTGAAAAGAACTACTTCTCCGGAGGTCATTAAAACAGCAAAACCAAACATTCACCCTGGATGGTTTTAGAAGAAACCTAAAAGTTAGCCCTAAAGCAGAGGCAGTACACTATTTAAAATGGTTCAGTCAAATTCATAGAAGGATTCTAAATGTTATTAAAACAGTGTAAGTTATGACATTTGATGGATGAATAACCTGGAAATGGTCATAGTAAAACAGTGACTTTAGTAATCAGTAACTGCTTGACCATCCCTGCTTAGGCTATCATATACTCTTTGTGCCTGAATATTTTACTCTGTGCTAACAGATACTCCAATCACCACATGTAAAAAGCAATGTAGGTATAACCAAATTTCATCCATGCCAGGATTAACCTCAAAATGGTTAAGCTTCAATCTAAAGTATATTTTAAACCTACGATTCTCAATTAAGCATAACTGCAAGTCAGAATACAACTCATTCACTTTTAGATTTGATCTTCTAGAGTGAAGAAGAAAGAAGGGGGTGGGAAGCACACAAAATTTAAAGTGTTCACCATGCAGCTCCATTATTTAAATATGGCCGGTGACCAGACACCACAGCTCCTGAAACTGGAAGTCATGGGGTACAAACGCTGTCTGGGAGCTACCGCTACTCTTCCTTTGGCGGGCTTTTACAAAGCCTGCAGCAGAAAAACAAAGCTGCGTGGGACGGCAGCAGCAGCAGCAGCCTTTTACTTCTCGCTTCTTCGGGTGCAACAGCAAAGTGCGTTTCCCAGGGACCACAAGAATCTAGCACTTTTGCTTGGAAATTTAACTGGTATCGAAAGTATTCAGCTTTAAATGTCTTTTAAAAGAAAGGTGCAACTGAAAGCAACTTTCCAAGACACCTCCAGCGCTTTCAGTATTTCTAGCCTGCTCTGCTTTGGTGGGTTTTTGAGAAATACACTACTGCCAATTATTCCCGGGGCGGGGGGTGTCCTCTGTTCTCCGCAGTACTTCAGCAGGTAAAATGACTCTGCTGACACTAAATAATTTTTCCTCATAGATTTCATGCTTTCCCTTTGATTTAATCTAAATACACGGTTATAAAATGACTACATTGGTTACAACGCAAGGCTGGCTCCTCATCTTCCTGTAGAGAGATAAATGAATCATTACTTCAGACACAGTTAAGTTCACACTGGAGAGCCAGCAACTTTCTAAATGTTCCAACTTCTGATTTTTCAGCTAAAATTACGTTTTTATGAGAAAGAGGCCAGGCAGTAAAATAAAAGGTAACCACAGAAATAAACTTCAGAAGAAAGGTTCTTACTGTAGTTGCCATGAATTCTAACTTTAAAGAAGTGGTGGACAGAAGTGCAATGCTCCCATTTACAGAAATATCCAGTGGGTATCATAGGGAATAAATTGTAACAGCAAAAAGCTCTTTTCATCTAAGTATGTTTTAACCACAGGAACTGAATCCACCTCCAGCAAACAGAGATGTATATTGGTAATTTAAGGTACTTAATCCACCAGAAAAGCAGAGATTTTTGTACCAAAAGCATTGCCAATGCTTGAAAATTTTAATCTGAAGAAGAAAACATTGCATTTCTTCCATTCTAACAAAACTTATGTAGTTAATTAACACTATCCTGAGAAATCAAGGGTGCTTAGATTACATCTTTCCCAGTAACTAGACAGCCTTCGCAGTGACTGCAATCAGCTGACCTCTACAACTGCAAATCATTAAATGTAAGCATATATTAAAGCGCTTTCACAAGTCTGGGCCTAAAGGCTTTGGGTCAGAAGCTAGTATAAGCTAGAGTAATTTTATTAGTTCCAGCCCAACAGTAAAAGTTTCTGTAAGCAGAATTTGTCAACCAATCAAACAAAAAAAAATCACCGGGGAAACCTTTTTGTCCGCTCCATATGTGGCACTGACAAGGATTTCAGGCTGGTCAGAAGCAAACTTCAGGTTTGACTGGAATAAGAAGCTGTTCTTGGGCTTAGTTTTTTTTCTTTTTTTTTTCTTATTTTCTTATCCCTTTTCTTTTCTTTCCCCTAACTTATCTAGCCCAGCAGGCATTCAATCAAAACCACTGCTGCAGTTACAGTTTTGAACATCCTGAACATAACTTAATGTTGAATCAAAACTAGAAATCAGATCATACTAAAGATTTCTGTCTGGGTCAATCGCATTTTAAACTAACTAGAAGATAACAATATGGCATTAGCAAGTGCTGATAAGAACAACTTGTCTCCTTCCAAAAAAAAAAAAAAAAAGAAAAAAGGAAAGAGAAACTCTCCCTTGAAACCTATTCAAGAGCAGTTGAGACCTTACACTATAAAATGACCAAGACAGCTACCTGAAAGACAAGCTAAAACCTGGAGACCTTGATCACAACACAAAAATCCAGAATACAAAAACAAGATTAATATTAATTTCTTAAATTTTCTAGTAGATCATCCTCTCTCCTGAGAATAAAGCTATCAACTAAAGTAAAGAAAATGTCTGAATCTGTACGAGACAGAAAATACACAGATTTCTCTGTGGTATCAGTATGTGAGATCAGTTAACCATATTTATATACAAAGGACAAAAAGTTACACATAACAGCAGAAACTCCCAGGCTAATTTACAATTCTCGTGTGATGGGGAAAGACAATTCACTATCCCTGTATTGTGACTATTACCTGATATTCCAATTTGTACTACTGTAGAGAATATTTAAGAAATTGTGTCAACAGATATTAATAATCAGCAGAGGTAATTTCTGACCAATGTTTAAGGACATTTTAAAATACAAAAATATTTACCTGCTCTTCAGAAACCTCAGTAGGTGGAGGTGTTTCTTGATCAGATGGGTGATGATCTTGATAATTTGCATTATGTCTATGACGCAAAGGAGGAAACAGTCTATTCCAGTTAATCATCCCACCCTGAAACCAGACGTTACTGTCAGTTTTTTCAAAAAGAAACATAGATATTTTTAAAGAACAAAGATCACCCATCCCACATAATATAAAAGTCAAACATTTAAGTAAGATATTTTATTTTAAACAACAAAATCTGCTGAAGTTCTTAACGAGCTCAAAATTGGGGTTGGTTACTGCTTTCTAGGTATTAGAAGTATTCACCGTAAATTAAGAAGTGCAAATAAAAGGAGGTAAGGATGGCCATATTTCTTGCTACTACATCATTTTTCATATCCACTGTGAAAGACTCAGTTTACTACAGCGAGGGATTTCAGACAGAGTCTGAAGGGGCTGCTCTCCTTGCCAACAGGGATTTCATTAGGAAGAGAGCCAACGGGGGGTCCTGCAAGTGCTTTGCACATGTCTGCCCCTGGAGTTATCTAGGAAAAAGCGTGCAATAAATAACTGAAAAAAAAAGCAGAAATGGATTCTCAATGTATCAACAAAACCACAGCAGGAAACGTAGAGCTAACGCTACCGAGTAGAAGCCCAACTTTTAGGATACCTGTGATACACTTTCCATGTAAATGATTACTTCTGTAGCATCAGTACACAGACACACAGACCTTCTCACCTAACTTTAGTGTATTAAATACCACTGCAAAATCTGGCTTTGCTCCAGTGCCAAAACGTTTCGTAACTGCACAGTAATAATAAAAATACAGAGCAGTAATGCAAGTATGGTGTAAATCACAGAACCCAAAACTTTCTGTTAACAACCAAGCTTAGAAAAACAGAAAACTTTAGACATTTAGAATATAAAATTCAAATAGTAAAGTACAAGCATTGCAATTATCCAGAAGTACTCCATCTTAATTTTATTAGCTTACAGAAATATTTTTGAAGGGATTTTGTGTCACATTACAACCACAACGCCTGCAAGCATGGAAGAAGAGCAAAACCCCAAATCTCTGCATGCTTTACAATTTTTTGCAGTTTGTGCGTTGTTTTTGTCCTCCTCCCCTACTCCCTCGGTTACTATGGAGAAGATCCCCCTCCCCTTCTGTATATATAGGACATGGACTTCCTTCCTCTAGTTGCTCTATTTTAGTTCTATACTGTTGCTTCTCAGAAGACCTTCCTCTTAAGAGAGGTTTTTTTTTTCTCACAGCTAGAGCTCTTCCTGCCTTTATGTACTCTTACAGCATTAAACGTTTGCTGTGCTATCAGATCATCGGTGGCAGCTCAATCTGCTCCCAGACAAAAAAGTTTCATTTATTTAGTTTTCCCGCCCTTTCCTCTGTTTTCTTCCTTTCCGCCTGGAGAGGAGACCCAGCCAGCCCAGACACCGCAGGGGGCAGTGCAATAGCATACTTAAAAGGCATCAGGGCAGTCATGAGATTTGAAGTGCTACCTCATAAAGTGCCTGTTGAGGAGTATGTTCCAGTCTCTTATACTACAGTCTATTTTCTCCAGGAAGATGCACAATATCTAGGAGTTACCACCAGTTTTCAACATGTAGTTTCCACTATTACTGATTTTGAACTGGAAAAAAATCTTACTTATCTCTACTGCTATTTTTCACAATGTATAAAAAACTTGCTCAAAAGTTACCAAGTTTTAACTGAAGGATTCCACGTACGCCTTGGATTAGCCAAACGGCACACACACAGTTCTGCTGCTGACATCACTGCACTGCTCCTCTCTGGTCTTGGAAAATCACATATCCTGTAACTTCCTCATCTATAATTTCCCCTAACTCAAAAGTATGTTGAGTTTTAATTCACTATTTTTGAATTTCCAGAAGTCCATTAAGCTCTACAGTTCAGCAAAAACAGTGCATTAATGCTGCCTGAACTTATTAGCCTGAAAAGACCTGAGGGGGAGAAAACAACCCTTCCAAGGGTCATTCAAATAAAACTGGCGAATTGAGAAATCCCAGCAGACCATGACATATTTCTCTGCAGCACCAGCTACAAAGCCATAGAGTATAATATATATGAAACACAGAATCTACAATGAATGTATTAAGTTATCTGCATCCCAGTCAATCTAAAGACTGAAATAAATGTACCTTTCCAGCTGCGTGCACAGTTTCACTACTGAACCACCTATTCCAGTGCAGTTTTCCACCCCCTATCCTGTGCACTGTCACATAACACTATAAAGAGATTTGTCTGCCTCCTTAACCTAAACTTACGATACATTTTTAATTAATGCACACATAATTCACTACTTCCAATAAAAACCAGCAGATTCATTACTAACTACTCAGTTTTGCAGCTTTGTAATAGAGATTTTGGTAAACTACAGATATGCAAAGATGTATTCAGAAGATTTACATGCAAAGATTGCTAATCCTTTTCCAGAAATAACTAATACACTAGACAAATTATATCAAAATAGCAGTGAAAAATCCTCTTCACTTGCCCTCAGAACATTTCAATTACTGTTGAAAATTGTCACTGACATAACCCTTAAGTACATTAACAACATAAGAATAACTGAAATACAACAACAAGAAGTATTAAAGGCTGACACTCTGTAAAGCTATGTGAACACTGATACTTAGGAATAATCCCAAGGTACTTCAGATGGTCTACTTTTCATCCGTTTATGACCTTACATACTGCATCAAAGCCATGCACATTATGCTTTTTGATCCTTACCTGCTTGAAAACTGTTTCCCTGTAAAGGCTTGCCTCTAGTTACATGCTGGACATGCACAAAGTCAGATTCAAAAGAGCAAAAATTCAGGGAGCTGCAGCAGGAGTTACTGCTGGCGATCCCACAGAGTGCAGCTAGGAAGTGCAGCTAATGTCCAAACTCCAGCAGAGCTTTCAGATCTGCAGAAGATGGACATCAAGACTATGGATGGTGACTGTGTAAGGACTTAGAGACAACCTTAACCATCAGAGAAGAAATACCCGAAGGTCACATTTGCCCTAAAGGAAACCGCAGAAAAAGTATTAAATAAATCTCTCAAATTCCAGTTAAAAAAATAGGCAGAAGGAGGTTTCCAGACCAATACTCTGCCTTGCCTCACAGAAATTATTTTGCAGATCTCTTCTCCCCTTCCATGGTTTTATGATAAATTCTGTATCATAGTGGGCTTTGACCATGCTAACACACTTATTTGGCAAAAGTTCAGGAAGATTTCACATGAAGGTATCCAATCTGATGAATTTATTTGAGCAATGCTTCTAAACCATCTGTGAGGCCTTACTAGGGATTACCAAACAACATGTGCACATTCCAGTACACTTAAAAAAATCCAATCTGATGAATTTATTTGAGCAATGCTTCTAAACCATCTGTGAGGCCTTACTAGGGATTACCAAACAACATGTGCACATTCCAGTACACTTAAAAAAAAAAAAAAAAAGCCTCCATTAACAGTGAACCTTGCCACCAGCACCAAACAGCACAGATGAGCTCACACCCACAGCCCTTAGGGCTATCCCTCTTGCATAGCAGATTTCTCTCAGATAGAGCTAAGTGAAGCAGTCCAGAACAGAGGCAGAAAAGGAGACAGAGCAGGCAGCCAAGCACCTAGAGAGCCTGCTGGTGCAACTCAGGAACCTGACGTTGTGAATCCACTTTTCCCCCCCATTTAGTGATCTAGATAGCAACTGCTGATCATGTTATCTACACAAAGGTAAGATTTCTTCCTCATATCTGCTTTCTTAGCCTCAATTTTCCAATTTTGTGAATGCTGAATGATTTACTATAGCAAAAGGAAAATTTCTCTGCATATCTGATTTCTCTACTGCTTCATCTGTGCTCCAGGCCTTCTCTTCTTATCAATTAGCATGTTAAAACAGCACCAAGCTTACTTTAGGAAAGAGGCAGAAGGTTCCCACCAACTTGTATATTTGGGTCCCTACAGTGGGATGCTATGAGAAATTTCTAGTCTCTATGGCAGTTGTCATACTCGTCTTCATAGCAATAACCAGAAACTGTATTTCAGAAAGTCTGCTAGACTGCTAGAGAAAGACAATCACTGAAAAATCAGTCTACAAACTATCATTCATAAAAACACTTCAAATAGGTGACTGGGCCCTTATTTCTGTCTGCTACAGTCATCTCCGTGTCATGAAGGAAAACACTTGACAAAAAGACTGCTTCGTCGGTTAGTTGAACAGAAGGGTGATGGACACTTTCAGAGAAAGACCTATAAGCTTTTCTCCCTCCCTTCCATTCCGCAATGGAAGAAAAAATCAGTTTTCCTTGGAAGTTTTATCTTTTAGCAGTGCAGAGATTGGTTGAACGGGTTGATTGTAAATTCTTTGTTACTGTCTGATAGGAGACAACATACTAGCGAGATCATTTTAGCGGGCACTGGTCTCAGATAAATCATTACTAGAAGTGGATTAGGAAAACGCTGCTGATGCTGGAACCTACCTATTACAGCAAAGCGACAAATCAGTCACAAACCCCAGGTGACAAAAGAATGAGATCTAAAAATGGACTGGATTAGGGGAATAGGTTCATGGCAGCTCAATCAACACAAAAAAGATAATAAGGAATGCTGTACTGATGAATTTTTCTTGGATAGCTGCCAGTGCTGTACATACTGACGTTATGCCTTTTTAGGTCATATCCTTGATGTCTGTCTTCTGTTTTTTATGGTGTCTGGCACGATACTGTTTACGTACAGCAATAAGGAAGGGACACTCATACCAGTCTAGAGCAAGCAAATGTCTCTGCATAGCTTGTTGAAGTCCCAGTTAGCCATTTAGTTCAAGTAATTGCCTTACTCTCTTTGAAAAAAGGCAGTCCTACCTGTTTCGCATATACATACTTGCAGTGGCATATTCTGCGAAAGCACTTCTTACTCAATGCTTGAAAAATAAAAATGTCATATTATGGAGAGTTAATAATTATTCACTTTAGTAGCTATCACAGTTGTATGCATTTTAATTCATTTCACAAGCAGTGAAAGAAGATGCTTTATAAAAGTCCTCTTGAAAGTGATGCATGTGGTTAAGATATTTTGATAACGTTATCTCATGTATATGGTT